CCGAAGAAGATCGTGTGGCGCGGGTAGTAACTGGAACGTCCGCGCTCTGTGCCACCATGGCGCGCCTGCTGTCAGCCGTCGTCTCCGTGTGCTGACCACGCTGGCCTCGCCCCAGGCTATTGTCAGTCTGCAAGAGACCCGCGGATCCTGTGACGCGGTCGCGGAGGCGTGTCAGAGAGCAGGGGTGTCTCATGAAGTTTTTTAGCTCGTATGCTGAAGGATCATATACGGGGGGAGTGGCCACTCTTATTCCGCCGGGTCCCTGGGCCGAGGAACATCTCTTTATTGTGCCTAAGGAGGTTTTTGTCGGGCGTGTTTTAATGCTTAAAATCACTTCCCCAAATGCTTCCCTGTTCCATTGGAACATCCGTAATGTCGAGATCCCAGCGGGGGTTCTCCGTGAAATTTTGGAAGCTGTCCGATCGCAATGTGAGTTTGTCCGTGCTGACCCGATGCGTGTCGGTCCCATTCTGCAGGGCGATTTTAACATCGCCAACTCTGAGGCGGGGGTGGGGCGACAGGGTCGGGCGGGGGATCGGCTCTGGAAACAAATCTTCCGCGAGCTCACCGAGCTCGCTGCGGATGCCCCGGCGTGCCGGCACCAGGGGGGCCGTTCGGATGCCTGCGTCGACAGGACTTTTACGGCCACCCCCCCGTGGATTCTCTGTGAGGGCCGTCATGCGGTTTCAAGGTTGGACGTGCCTCGAGGGCTTTTCCTGCGCGGTGTCAGTGACCATTGCCCCGTCACTGTGGTCCTCTCAGCTCGCCCGCGTGGGTCTCATGATCGTTGGCGCCCCCGCCCTCTCCTTCGGATGGTGGTCTCTGATCCCCTCTTCCCCAAGCTTGCTGCTGAGTATGAGAAGCTTGTCTGCTTTGAAGGGCTTGATGCCCCTGAGGCGCTCGACCTTGCCACTCGCTGTCGGCAGGCAGCAGGCCTGGCGACCCGAGATCTGGTGCTGTCCCGCAACAGCCGTGCCATGATGTCTCGGGCCATGGTGTCCAGGGCGCTGGCTCGGCGCGTCTCCCGCCAAGACGCGCGGCTTGCCAGGGCCGTCCTCGCTCGCCACAGCTGGACGCAGCAGCGCCTGGGCGTTTCGGCTCTCGGCGAGGTGTGGCTGCGGGGCCCTGGGGCCTTCCAGGACCTGCGGTGCTCCTTGCAGCTTCAGGAGCGGCGCGCTCTTCGCGAGCGCCTCCAGGCCGAGGCGCGATGGGGAGCTCCGCCCTGGGATGCAGCAGCGAATTCGTGCGCGCCGTGCTGCGCTTATGCGCCGCTCGCAGCTCTGGTGCCCATTTGGGAGAAGAAAGTTCTTGGCGGGGGTTCTTCCAACGGACCTTCCCTCTGGCGCCGCTGCGGCGACCTCGTCTCCCGAGGGGGCGGCTCAGGCTCAGAATAATCGCTGGGCCCCCATTTTCGGTCGCGAGACCTCGACGCCGCCTAACGCGTCGAGGTATGCTCAGAAGTTTTGTAGCTCTTGTCGTGACTTTCGGGACCTTCCCCCTCCTTCCCTGGGCTCGGTCTCTGGGTACCTGGCTCGTGCCTCCTCCTCGGCCCCTGGCCCCGACGGGCTTCCCTTCTCCTCCTGGCGCCATGGGGCGGGCCCGAAAATCCTGCGCCAGGTTTTGCTCTGGGTGTTGGCTGGCCGTTTGATGCCGCCTGAATGTTGCGCCTCGCTCCAGGTCTTCATTCCGCAGCCGTTGCCTGGAGACGACCCGTCAAAGGACGGGCTTGAGCGCGCTGCGAGCAACGCACGGCCACTCGGCCTGGAAAAAAACAGTTCTAACAAGACCATTGCTGATGTGCTGAATTGGAGTCTGACCCGGGCAATGCAAGCCCTCACTGCTCCCTCTCAACGCGGGTTCGTGCCGCGGCGGAACTTTCGCGAAAATATCGTGGATTTGGACACGATGGCGAGGATCACTAGTGTCAGACACTGCGGGGATCCCACTCATGCCCCCTCCCTCCTCGCCTCTGGTTTCTCCCAGGCCTTCCCCTCTGCGCGGCAGGAGTGGATGGTCCTGAATGCGTTCTTGGCCCCGATCCCTCGCGGGTTTAAGAAGGCGGCTTCAGTGTTTTATCATTTAAAACAGCGTTACTCTGCCCAGGGGGGCCAGCAAGTTTTCCTCTTCTGGATGCTGTCTGGCGTCCTCCAGGGGTGTCCGCTCTCGGGCTCGCTTTTTCTGTTTGCGGTTAACCCTTTCATTCGGGCTATGGAAATCTCCCTGACCCGTGTCAATCGCGGGCCTGTCCGCGCGTGTGCGGATGACATCGGAGTTGTTGTCTAGCATCGCGATGGGTGGAGGCACCTTGGCAGAATCTTCAGTCTCGCTGGCAAGCTTGGAGCGCTTGCCCTGAAGTATCGGAAACGCGTTGCCATCCCGCTCTGGGCTGAATAATCACCAGAAGTCCAGCAGCGGTTGAAGGAACTCCTTGCTGTGGCCTGCCCGTCTTGGACCGCGTTTAAGATCGCTGGCAAAACGGTGTACCTCGGGTGCCTCATAGGTCCTGCTGCCGCCCCCTCGGATGCTTGGGAGGCCCCCGTAGGGAAGGCCCTGGACAGGTGCTCCTCGTTGGGCGCCCGCGGTGCCCCGCATGCGACCTCTCTCGACTTGTGCCAGTCTCGGATCCAGACGGTGCCGAGTTATAAGATGCAGCTCTATCCTCTCTCGTGGACTGAGTCCCAGGTTGAGCGGCGCATGCTGGCTAGAATCTGTCGTGTGCCTTTCTCTATGTTCCGTCGAAGTGATTGGTTTCAGCTCAGAAATTTTGGACGCCCCCAGCCTGTCAGCGCACTCGCTCTGAGTGCGGGGACCTTGATGCGTTCAGCCCTTCTCACTTGCAGCACCTGGCAGGCGAATATCGCTCGGCTTCGGACAGTCATGAGGGAGGAAGGGGGATTTGGGTGGTGGGGTGGATCCATGCTGGCGCCTCCTTTTTGGAAGGCCCCTGCGATCGCGGGCTCGCTTGAGGAAGCTGCGCGAGGTTTCCCGAGCTCTGCGGTCCTGCGCGCAGGGGGGCGCGGAGGCCTTGGCACTGTTTCGGGATCCCCCCCCCCCACCCTGTCCCTGGGGGGCCGAGGAGAAGGCCGAGGTGGCAGGCTCGGTTCGTTGAGGTCTTCCAGCGCGTCCTCTTCTCGACTCCCCCCCTCCACCCGCCCATCGTCCGTCGAGTGCGAAAGCATGCTCGAGTTCTCGTGCGTTTCTCCCCCGCCGACTGGCAGGCGTTCCAGGGAGCTCTGACCCAGGCCCCTCCTGCGTGGTCATTTGTAGCCCTGCGCACTCTAATGGGGGGTGGCTTACGGGCGGAAGGATGCAGCGCGAGGCCTGTTGCGCATTGGGATGCCGGTCCTGTCCCGATACTCTTGGCCATTATCTTTCCTGTCCCCGTTTGCTTTATTGGACGTCGATCTGTCTCCGCTCTCCCCTTCCTGTTCATCCCTTCTCTCTTCTTGGCCTCCGTGGTGGCCAGCTAGCCTTTGTTGTCACTTTGTACAACTTTTTTCCGCCTCTCCTCTCGCCTCGCCTCTTCCCTCCGTCGCCCGATCACCCTCGAAGAGGCAAGGCGTCTGGTAGGTGCCACTCGTATTGCTGTGCGGCTCCCAGCTGGACGTCGGCAGCGTTCACTTCTCGGCAGGCGCGCCCTGGCCGCCGCTGTCGTCGAGGCCCGCGGATATCGCCGCGGCCCGCCGCTGCCTTCGCTGCGGCCGCCATTGTACCTCGCGCGCGGCAGCAGCAGCAGTGGCAGCAGTAGCAGTAGCAGTTGCAGCAGCAGTAGTTCTAGCAAGTAGTGTGGACGGACTCCTCTGGGCACGCTCCACCTCCTCTTCCTCCTCCTCCCTCCTTTTCCTCCTCCTCCTCCTGCTCATCATCATTATCATTGTCATCATCATCATCAGCATCATCATCATCATCATCACCATCATCAGAATCATCATCATCAGCATCATCATCGTTACCATCATCAGCATCATCATCATTCCTCATTCCTCCTCCTCCGCCTGTTCCCCCCTTGGGGATGGTCCATGAAGCTTGGAACGACACAGAATATTAGCATGGCCTCTGAGCGAGAATGACCAGGACATCGAAATCTGTGTGCATTCCCGTCCCCCCGCCTCCCCCTCCTTTCCCCTTCGCCTCGTTCCCCTCGCCCTCCTCCCTCCCTCCCTCCCTCCCTCCCTCCCTCCCTCCCCCCCTCCTCCTCCTCCTCCTCCTCCTCCTCCTCCTCCTCCTCCTCCTCCTCCTCCTCCTACCTCCTCCTCCTCCTCGTCCTCCTCGTCGTCCTCCTCCTTCTCCTCCTCCCCTCCTCCACCTCCTCCTCCTCCACCTCCCCCCCCTCCTTCTCCTCCTCCTCCTCCTCCTCCTCTTCCTCCTCCTCCTCCTCCTCTCCTCTTTCTCCTTCCTCCTCTTCCTCCTCCTCCTCGTCCTCCCCCTCCTCCTCCTCGTTCCTCCTCCTCCTCCTCCCCCCTCCTCCTTCTCCTCCTCCTTCTCCTCCTCCTCCGTCCTCCGCCGCCGTCCTCCTCCTCCGCCCCCTTCTCCGCCTCCTCCTTCCTTGTGGATCACCCGTGAACGTTCGAACGGCACAGAGACTATTAGCGTGGTCGCCTGCGCGAGGATGACGCGCGCAATCCGAAACATGCATACCTCTACTATGAAGGCATGTGCGCTCCCCCGCCCCCCCCCCCTGCGCCCTCCTTTGCCTTCCTCATCTGCCTTCCCTTCTCTTTCCTCTCTCCTCTCTCCTCCTCCTCCTCCTCCTCCTCCTCCTCCTCCTCCTCCTCCTCCTCCTTTGTTCCTCCCTCTTGTTCCTCCTCCTCCTCCTCCTCCTCATCCTCCTCCTCCCTCTCCTCCTCTTGTTCCCTCCTCCTCCTCCTCCTCCTCCTCCTCCTCCTCCTCCTCTTCCTCCTCCTCCTCGTCGTCCTCCTCCTCCTCCTCCTCCTCCTCCTCCTCCTCCTCCTCCTCCTCCTCCTCCTCCTCCTCCCGGGCGGCCGCGACCTTCGCACCAGGCGGCGCCGGGAAGGCGGCGTGCCGCGGCGGCTGCTCGTCGGGCCACTGCACCTACCGGCAGTCCTACCTGGAAGGCCCAGCCGTGGGCCACCAGCCACCGCCGCCGCGGGGCGGGGGCGCCTCCTGATGCCGAGGAGGGGGAGGGGGGAGGGGGGGGGGAGGAGGAGGAGGAGGGAGGGAGGGAATGAGGGAGGAGGAGGAGGAGGTGGAGGAGGAGGAGGAGAAAATGGAGGGAGGACCAGGGAGGAGGAGGAGGAGGGAGGAGGAGGAGGAGGAGGAGGAGGAGGAGGAGAGGTGGAGGAGGAGGAGGAGGGAGGACGGAGGAATTTTCGGGAAATCTGCAACGTGTTTCGGTACGTAATTTTTGAGGCCTGGGGTGGTCTCCGTCAGCTGCGCCTCGTCGAGGGCGTTCTGGGGGCTCGCACATCGTCCCGAACGGCCGCCAGAGGGCCGAGTTATGGCCCGAAAGCGACTTCGCGTTGCAACAAAAACGCAAGTGGGGGTGTTTGCTCATTTTCGGGCTCAGGGGCCCTCGCCGGGCCCTGGGACAGCCAAAGCATTGCCGGAAGGGGTCCAGACTTCCCGGGGTCCACGCCGTGAAATAACGACGTCGGAGTTTTGGGGGGGAGGAAAAGGAGGAGGGGGAGGAGGAGGAGGAGGAGGAGGAGGAGGAGGAGGAGGAGGTGGAGGATCAGTGTCAACCCAAGACCCATTGACGAAATTGCAGTCAACCCTCCTTCCATGTTCCTGAAGTGGCCCGTTGAAAAGCAACTGTTTGAAAATCCAGAATTCTGCCAGAAAGCCATTCCTGGACCATCAACGACGCGAATCATCGTTACCGTTGCGTCTTGACGATCTTGAACCGTGCCAGAACACCAACCCTGGTACTTCAACACAGCGAATTAACTTGAATCTTTGAGACTGTTGCAAACTCTTAGGACGAATGCGCGCGGCGCTAGGGCAAGGACCACATTTTTGAAGAGGAACCGCCCTCCATCCGTGAAGTTCTTCAACACGTTTAAGACGAATGTGTGCGGCGCTAAGGCAAGAGCCACATTTTGCAAACGGGCCTACCTCCATCCGTGAAGCTCTTGCGAACTTGTAAGATGATTCTGCGCGGCGCTAAGGCGAGAGCCACATTGTGAAAACGGGCCGCCCTCCATCCGTGAAGTTGTTGAAAATTCTAAGCTTCAGGATCATACTTGGTGAGGAAGTCTCAGGCGAAATGCCTGCCCAGCCCTCGACCAGCCTCGGGGCGCGCCAGGGAGGAGTTACCTATAAGGAGAAAGGATGGTGGAGGAGGAGGGGGAAGAGGAGGAGGATGAGGAGGAGGAGGAGGAGAATGGAGAAGCCAGGCGTGCCAGGGTGCGGGCTCGGTGAACTAAAAAAATCCACCTCAAATCTACAGGACGCTCGCAGCAGGGACGGGCGCAGCAGCGGCCACGAGTTCATCCACTGTCATTCCGTGGCTAGCCGCCTTACATATGGAGACCGTCACGACCAGCAGACGCACGGGTGAATTGGCCTCGATCGATCTTGGCGAGATTCTCTCGCCCCTTGCGCGTGATTCCCGAACACTGTGCGGCAAGATGGCGCGGGTCCTTCGTAGCCATCTTGCCGCACGCACGACAGAAATACAGGCAGTAGTTCTGAATATAGTGAAGCTTATGTGATTTGTGCAGCTCGCACCCGCCCAGCACAACAGTACCCTGTAGCGGTACCACATGCTCGCTGGCGGTGTGCTCGGGAGGCTTGCGGTGGCAGGGCGTGCTGTATGCCTTTCGCGCCGCACGCTTGTCGGAGGTGAGCCCGCATCGCGAGCACCTGTACTTGCTCGCGCGGAGCTCAAACGCGTGCACGCTGGACCGGAAAGCGAACTATAGCGTGGCGAGGCGCGGGACAGGTCGCCAGGCCAGTTCTCGAGGGCTAGTGCGAACGCGAGAAACTCAGCACAAGGCACAGTTTGAAAAGGGTCTTTGAGGCCCGAGAGTATGCCTCCCCAGGGGACCCACCCCCCGAAGAGGTACTTCATTGCGATGCAGGCGGCCACCACTCTGCGGCGACCGGCGTCGGCGCTGAACTGCCCACCTGAACCGTTGCCGAACAGAGTGAGGGTCCCATCGCTAGCGACGCAACCCTCCCGATCCCGCCCAGACCAGCACCACCCGCCGTCTGGGTGAGGAGGATGAAGAGGAGGAGGAGGAGGAGGAAGAGGAGGAGGAGGAGGAGGAGGAGGAGGAGGAGGAGGAGGAGGGAGGATGATAGAGAGGAAAACGGAGGAGGAGCGGGAGGAGGATGAGGGAGGAGGAGGAGGAGGAGGAGGAGGAGGAGGAGGAAGAGGAGGATGAGGAGTTGGAGGAGGAGGAGGAGGAGGAAGTAGTAGGAAGGGGAGACGCATGATGTACATACATATACATATGTACAGACATGTATGATTTGAGCAGAAAGCTTGCCACAGGCTGGAAGCAGCTCTTTTTCAAAAGAAAAGAGGGGGGAGAGTCGGAGGAGCCAGGGTAAACCCAAGATGCGCCAACAATGCTGCAACGCACCCGCCTGTTCCACGTCCCCCCCCATGAGTCCCGACATGCATTCCTGTCCTTTTGGGGCAGCGCTCCCTCTTGACATACAAAAGCCCCGTGGGCTTGCCAGTCGGACGAGACCCAGTTCTGCGAACGACCAACTCTCCACCCTTCCAACTACAGAAAAAATACAAGGGGATACGGCCATACCAGCGATACATTCGTCGAGAAAAGGATCAGCCCCCATGAGCACAAGCGTTGCGCAGTTTCAGCGTTCCGTGCTACGAGGCTCGAGGAAGTTCCAAGCGAGCAAAAACTTAGAACCTGAAGCCGCCCAAATCCTGGAGCCGCCCTCAGTAAGCGTAGTTACTGCAAACTTTCAATTTCTGGACATATTTTCAGGTAGCCCCTGTTGAAAACGAACCGCCCTCCATCCATGTAGTTGCTGCAAGCTTTTAAGACGAGAGTGCGTGGCGCCAGGGCGAGACCCTCGTTTTGAAGAAGCCCCCCCTCCACACGTGTAGCCGATGTTGTGTTAAACGAGTGCGCGCTGCGCCAAGGCGAGAGCGCCATTATCGGACAAAGCGTGTGCCCACAATGTGCAATGGTATAATGTCAAGCTTCGACATCATGCATTGTGGGGAAGTCTCAGGCGAAGCGCCGGGCCCGCCCAACGACACGTCTGGTGGTGCGAGTGAGCGGCGTTATCTGCAAGGTTTGAGGGATGGAGAGGAGGAAGAGGAGGAGGCGGAGGAGGAGACCTTTTCCCCACCTCTGCTCTTCGCCACGATGGCTTTCGAGGATCGGGAAGAATACCTCGAGGATCCAGGTTGTTTGAGCATTGGGGTCTTGGTGGGATCTCCTGGAGGCTTCTCCTGGAGGCTTCTCGTCGCCACGGCTGGATGCCCCTCCGAAGTTCGTGCAGAAGGCACCCCAGGACGGGTCCGTGATTTCCGGCAGGCCTTTCGGAGGGCAGGCCCTCCTCAACGCCTCTCCAGGCAGTGCTGCGTTCTCGTTCTCCTCCTCCCCTCTTTTTTGACGCTGCACCAGCTCAGGCCTACGAAAGCCGTCGCTTTCCATCGGGCAGCAGAAGAACTACTCGAAACGACTCAGGCGATGTGCAGTGACCTGAGTGGCAATCGCCAGTAAGAAAAGCTGGCCAGTGCACGCCGATGTGGTGTAAGGTGGAGCGACACGCGGCAAGCACACGTAGACCAGCCTGCGTGGACATGGAGTTGGCGTGCAGCCAGTCGAGGTGAGGAGGGAGGACAGTCAAGTCGCCATAAGCCATCGAAGGGTCCGACCTGCTCGAAGTTGCTCGACATCGACTCGCGCATCTTCTCCTGTTCCGACGTGTTGAACTCCTTCGTCTTGGCACGCGACGGTCTCGGTTTCGGTCACGCCTTGGCTATCGTCATCGTTACCGTAGCACTCCGTGGCACCTCGACCCCACAGGAACGGCGCCAGCCGCGCCCGATGCGGCAGTGTTCACGGCGTTGCTGCCATTGCTGACGAAGATGTCCAGATTCTCCGCCTGGTAGCCTGCCACGAACTCCCGCAGCCCCGATCCAAGCTGCAGCGACACGTCCGCGACGCTCAAGCTCATGACGTCCCCATGGCTAGCCAGCGCAGCACCTTGAGCCAAAATTGCTACGGGGCGCGGGGGGGAGGAGGGGGAGGAGGAGGAGGAGGAGGAGGAGGAGGAGGAGGAGGAGGAGAGGAGGAGGAGGAGGAGGAGGAGGGAGGAGGAGGAGCCCGCGCCGCCCCCGGGCGAGCCTCGAGCGAGAAAGGGAGAGGCGGAGGAAGAGCGCCCTCCGCGGCTCATGGCCGGGATCCCTTCGTCCTCTTCCTTTCCTCCCCCTCTTCCTCCTCTCCTCCTCTCCTCCTCCTCCTCCTCCTCCTCCTCCTCCTCCTCCTCCTCCTCCTCCTCCTCCTCCTCCTCCTCCTCTCCTCCTCCTCCTCCCCCTCCTCCTCCTGCTTCCTACTCCTCCTGCTGATTGCGGTGTTGGTGCTTGCCGCGCGGCTCAAGGGAGATGGTGCGCGGACCACACCTTTCGAGCTCCCCCCAGAGGAGGATCGAGCTCTCGCGTTGCGGCCGTTGTGTCGAGCGTTTCCCCTGGGATGGGATCTGGTATAATCAGTGCCCTACTCCATCGCCTCCCTCCCCCCCTCTCTCCTCATCTCTCCTCCCTCATCCCCCTTCTCTCCTCATCCTTCAACCGTTCTGCGTAATGAATGCTACTCTCCTTTTTTTTCTTTCTCTCTCTCTCTCTCTATATATATATGTTCAGGGCCTGGCCGAGCGGCGCCCGTTGTTGTCGCGTCTTGTTTATGCGTTTAGCTTATAGGATGCCGATCGCAGATGTTCAACTTTGTTTTTCTTGTTTTAACGCAGGACGTTTCAAGTGTGTCAACATGGTCATCCCGCTGCAGCGTTGGCTTTGTTCTAGGATCAACGGTTTATTCCTGCCGTTCAAATTCGCGTTCTCGCCCCAGCGCGGCCCGCAATTACGGATCCGAGGCCATCATCGTCGCTGTCGCCCCGCTCCTTTTTCCTCCGCCTTCCGTTGGTCCTCCGCTCCTCCGGCGTCAGCTCCTGTTGCTGTTCTTCCTTGTCGTCTTGCTCCTTCATCATCATCATCATCATCATCATCATCATCATCATCATCATCATCATCATCATCATCATCATCATCATCATCATCAGCATCATCATCACCATCACCATATCATCATCATCATCAGCATCAGCATCAGCATCAGCATCATCATCATCATCATCATCATCATCTTTATCATTATCATTATCATCATCAGCAGCAGCAGCATCACCAGCATCATCATCATCATCATCATCATCATCATCATCATTAGCATCATACTTATTATCAGTATCATTCTCAGTATCATTATCATCATCATCATAATGTTTATCATCATCGTCGTCATCATCATGATTATCAGCATCACCACCATCACTATCATCATCAGCATACTGTTCGTCTTATTATTGTTATATCCTGCTCATCCCCTTGGTCATCTTCCACCTCCTCCTCCTCCTCCACCTCCTCCTCCTTCTCCTCCTCCTCCTCCAATGTACACAGCTCCTGCTTTCTGATTTCGCATAACACGGTTGGGTCTTATGAGAGTTCCAGGTCCGCTATGACACGCGTCGGCGAATATGGGGAAAACGTAGCGCGATGGGAAGGGATGGAGGGGAGGAGTAGGATGTGCGATGTGGCGCGAGCGCAATTATTAGCTTGTCCCTCCCCCTCGCTCCTCTCCCAGCGCGCGGCTCCGCATGGCGGCGTCCCAGACGCGGCGCGGTCGACCGCCCGTTAAGAAGCCCAGCGGGGCCCTGCGGGGCGCGGCGGGCGGTGCGCAGAAGGCCCTCGGCGGGGCGCGGCGGGCGGTGCGCAGAAGGCCCGCGGCGGCCCTCGGCGGCGCTCGGCGGCCCTCGGCGGCCCTCGAGAAGGCCCAGCGCGAGCTGGAGGATGCCATCCTGAGGCGGGCCGCGGCGGGGCGCGACGCGCTGGATCGGCTCTCCACAGAAGGCAGCTGCGGCCAGGAACTCTGGCTTGGCGTGTCGCTCCGGCGGTTCTGGCCCACCGCGCCCCGGCGCGACACGCCATCCGCTTTCCATTTCCCGAGCGTCAACTTCCCAGGCGTGTCCCCCCATGGCGGAGCGGAGCGACACGCTGTCCACTCGCAGGGTATAGCGTGTCGCGGAGGCCGCCGTGGCAACACGCTGAGCAGAAGTTCCTGACCGCATGGACCCCCACCGTGCACGTCCAGCGCCACCCTGGGCCTTGTAGGATAGTTCTAGGCCTCCTAGATGGGGTCGGAGGCGTCGCCGATACACAGCCGTCGTCGGCGATGCATCGCCGATGCACTGGCGATGTATTGGCGATGCGGCTCGATCCTCCGACCCCGTCTACTCGGACCCCATCTAGGAGGCCTCTAAGAGTATGCAGGCCCTGCGGGCCTCGGCCGCGTGCGCGCGCAGGGGGGGCGTCCGCCCTCGCAGGGGCGCCCCTCCCCTCGCACGCGGGCTCCCGCGCCGACGGGCGCAGTTCCCGAGCAGCGCTCCGCCTCGATGGGGCGGCGGGCCTCTCCCCATGCCCTCTCCCTCGCCTGATGATGTTCCAACCTACTCTTGGCCTTGATCACCAGGAAGAGTTTCGAGCGCCAAGGGAGTACCGAAAGTGGAGGGCTTTCACGTGTCGGGCCCTGGGAGGCGAGACTCGTTCGGCACCGTTTCGATACTTTTCGGGGTGTTCGAAGTTATGCCTGGGATGTGGTCCTCAAGTACGATGGAAACAGCATAACCCTTTGCCGCGCTTGGCGCGAGGAGGTGTGGGCAGAGGATGAAGGGGCACCAGCAACGCTGCTCGGTCTGGGGCCCAGCCTCGATGGGGCGGTGGGCCTCTCCTCACACCTTCTCCCTTGCCGCCCTTGGCGCGAGAAGGGGTGGGCGGGGGAGGGAAAGGGGTACCCCACAACGCTGCTCGGTCTGGGGCCCAGGGTGGCCCTGGCCAGGCACGACGGCGGCGCACAACGGGCTGCCGCCTGCCCAGGACCGCAAGCGGGCCGAGGGCGTCAAGATCGTGAAGGTCCCGCTGGGGTCCACAGGCAGGCGCGACTTCCCGCGGCGCTGGACGAGGAGGGAAGGCGGCCGCAGCGTGGCGCGGGGCGCTGCCGAGTGGTACGTCCCCGACGGCGCCGACGCGTCGCGCCGCATGCTGTACCTCCACGGAGGCTCGTTCGTGACGTGGCAGCCCCAGGACCTGCCGTACAGATCGCTCGGCACGCGGCTCGCGAGGGCTTGCGGCGTGTGCGTGCTGTCCATCGACTACCGCAACGCCCCAGAACACCTCTTCCCCGCCGCCTTCGACGACTGCGCCGCGGCGCTGGAGTTCAGCGGGGCAGAAGACACCACGTCATCGGCACCATTCCTTCGTTTCTGCCTTCACGGGCGCCCTGCGGGGGGGGGTGCTCGTCGCAGCAGCTGGGTTTGCTTCGAAATCCTGGGCAGAACGCGCTCTGCAGTGAGGGCCCGGAACTGATCAGCGGAACCGGTCAAGGCAGGGGAAGCGACCCCGATCCCATTCACCGGCGCTTGCTACGCAGTCCAGGGCGTTTATTGAACAGCCCGGTTCTGTCACGTCCGATTGCCTCACGCTTACCAATCGGCTTCGCTTGTCGGGGTGCTTTTGAGGACGGTGGTTCTTATACCTCCCAATCTCGGCGGCGCGCCCCAGGGGGGTAGGCGGTCGGGGCGGGCCTTCTCGGAAGGCTCAGAGGACCTCTGGCCTCCTGGGAGGTTTCCAAAACCCTCTCCGAGCCAAATACGGCTTTCAAGAAGGCCGGGTGGTTTCTGAGAAGCCCCGCGGTCTGAGAAAGCATGCCCTCTCTCACCTGCCCCCTCGGGGCGCCGCCGATTCGGGCTTCCGGGTCATAGCTCGGGCCTTCGGCGGCCTTCCGCGACGATCCGGGCACCCCAGCATCGCTCTCGGCGAGGCGCAGCTGCTGGACACCACCCCGAGGCTGGAGAGCTTCCCGGGACCGGAGAAACGCAAGGAAACGTCGACCCCCCCCCTGGCTCGCCGCCGATAATCGGCATCTTTTGGTGCCCCCAGGATTGGGTCGCATCGCACGGCCCCAGAAGCCGGCGAGGGCCCCCAGAGGCCCAAATCGGCGCAAAAGATCAGCAAAACATTTGTTCTACAATCTGGGTGTCCTAAGATCCGACGTTGCGGAAAAATGCAACATCGCGAAACATCACGATTGCACCATCTTCCTGCGGCATTTTTCGAGCCGGATCGATCTGTGGTGGTCTTCGGGCCCGACACGAGGCAAAATCCCCCGTCGCGAAAGTACTGCGACGCCAGGATCTCCTCCTCCTCCCCGTCCTCGTCCTCCGCCGCCGCCGCCGCCGCCGCCTCCCCCCCAGGAGTGGGCCGCGTCGCACGGCCCCGGGAGCCCGACGGCCGAGTCCGCGGCCAGGGACCTCTTCGTGTGCGGCGACAGCGCGGGCGGCACGCTGGCGCTCGGCGTCTGCGTCGACCCGCCTCCGGCGGTGCGCGGCCTGCTGCGGGGGGTCGTCGGCATCTCTCGGCGGCGCGCCCGCGCGGAAACTCCGCCTGCCACACCTTCCGACCAGCAGGCGGCGGATCTGGTGATCGTCTCGGGGGCCTGAGAACTGCACGAGCATGAGCTCTCCAAGCTCCGCGCGGATCTCTTGGATCTGCGTTGGACCCCCTCGCTGGCGCATGGAGCAGGGGCGGCGCCGGAGGCGCCGCTGGGTGGAAGGTGTGGTAGGTGGAGTTTCAGGGCACGGGGCATTTTTGGGGGGCGTTTTTCGTGAGAGGCTCAAGGGTGCGTCAGTTGTTCGTTTTTTGTCCGAAGTGTTCGAGGCCCGGGGTGGTCTCCATCAGCCGCGCCTCGTCGCGAGTTTTCTGGGGGTGCCCGAGTTGTTCCGAACGGCCGCCAGAAAGCCAAACCATGGCTCGAAAGCCAAAGCGTTGACACGTTAGGGTTCGAGGCTCGAGGTTCGACGTTTCCGGGCGTTTCCGCCTTTTTGTTTTTCTGGCGGGTTTTCATCGTCCTAAGGAGCCATCGATGCCGCGGCTGGATCCGCCTCGAAATTCCGGTCAGGGCGCACCCTAGAGGGAAGGTCCAGGGATGGGTTTTTGATGCGTCATTCTCGAGGTTCTCGGTTTTCGAGCGTTTCCGCTGGTTCCCATCGAAAGTTTTCCAGCCTCCGGGTGCTGTTCAGCAGCTACGCCTCGCCGAGGTCGTTTTGGGGGTGGCCAGATCGTCCCGGCTCGCAGGCCTCGGGCCGTCCAGAAGGATCCAGGGCAGCCCGGGGCCGTCCCAAAGAGGTCCTGGGCGGAAAACCGTTTCCCACGAATTGGTCCAGAGCCCCGGGGACCCCGTTTTGCACAGATCAAGGCATCGGCGGTTTGGAGGGCGGGTCTTCTCAGAGGGTTCAGGAAGCCGATCTGGCCTTCCGGGAAGCTTTCTGAGCTTTTGTCCCAAAGGCAGAGGCGGCTTCTCAGAAGGCCGGAGGGCTTCTGAGAAGATCCGCCACCTTCTGATGGGAAGGCAGGCCCCCTCTCACTTCCCCCCTCGGCGCGCCGCCGAATCTCCGCGAAGCGGGGATTCGCCCATTACCACCACCCGCGGGATCGATCCTCGGGAACCTCCGCAGGCGGTGGACGTAGATTTGGACGCTGGCCTGAAGTCCGGCCGATTCAAAACGAAACGGAATGCTGCGGTCGCCGGTTCGGGGGGAACGCGACGATTTCGACCAGATCGAGGGCCCTGAAGCGGCCTCAGACCCTCGACTTCCCCGCTCTCGCCTCTGCGAGCGGCGCCGAAGTCGAGAGCTTGCGCCCGCGCGCACATATCTGCCCAGCACCCAGGGTACGAACGACCATGTCCATGTCCACCGCCTGCCAGGGCTCCCGAAGATCGATCCCCAAGGCGGCGGTGACGGATACATCCCCGCCTCGCCCCTCTCCGCCTGGACCGACATGACCGCTTCGCTGCCGAGCTACGACACGCGGCTGCCGACCGCACGTGTGAGCGGCCCTTGGCTGGAGTGACGTCTGGTGCGGGCCCGCTGGGGTGTCCGTCGCCCGATCGCCGACTGCGACGCGACAGCAGCGGCGTGTGCGCCTGGGGTAAGGGCTCCCACTTGGCGCCCCCCCCCTTTGAACCCGCGCGCCCGAGATCACTCCGGTCCAGGGCCACTCCTGCGTTCGGGGAGCACATCAGTAGTAATGACACGCCGCCGCGGGCAACCTATCAGCGTGGTACTGTTGATGAAGCACCAGGCCTTCGGACAAAAACGAAGGTGAAACACGCTGGCTGGCTACCAACGGCAGCGTGTCATTGATATTCCTTCTTTCTCCCGATGCGTGCGGCCGAGGTTGTGGGACCCCGAGAAGTGCTTCGGGGACGCCACGAACGCCCACTGCCAGTGCCGGCAGGACGGTCGCGACGAGGCTCGCAGAAGAGCATGTGGCGTTGACATATACTTTTGGAGCTCCGTGCGGGTTTCGAGGATCGGCGCTGGGCCCCCTTGACGCGCCAGGGGGCCCAAGCGCCGATCCTCAAAGTCCGCGTGGAGCTCCCGCAGCTTATGCTTGGTCCGTTTTCCTGTTCCTCGAGAGATGGAGGTCATAAGTCGGGCCTCCTGCGGCCGTTTGTGACGATCCGGGCCCCCCCTGGACGCTCTCGGCGAGGAGGCTGCAGACCCTGGAGGATTCCTTATCTGATAAGGGCGGCTGTGATATCCAAGGCCGGTCGACGATCGGAGCTGGACGAATTTCCAGCCCCTGGATTCCTTATCTAAGGGGTCCTTATCCAAGGCCCCCACCGTAGAAAGCACCCCGAGGCCAGAGAACCTCCGGGGAGCGACGAAAAGCGCCAGAGAACGTCGAACTTCCCCCCCTGGGGCGCGCCGCCGAAGGACGGCCGCGACGAGGCGGAGGGCTACTTGGGCAGGGGCGGCGTCGAGAGGCACCCGAAGGAAGAAGCACTGATGGGCTTGTTTTCCACCACCACCACCATAAGTTGGAGGGGGGAAGGAGGTAGAGGATTAGGAGGAGGAGGAGGAGGAGGAGGAGAAGGAGGAGGAAGAAGAGGGGGAGGAGGACCCCCTCCCCCTCCTACTTAAAGTGGTGGCGGTGGAAAACAAGCCCACCAAGTAGCTCGGTGGTTCAAAGATGGGGTCCTGAAGGATGGGGTCCTAAGGATGAGAAGGGGTCCAAGGGAGGATTTGCGTTGTTTGAAGCACCTCGTCCTTAGGACCCCATCCTTCAGGACCCCATCTTTGAAGCACCGAGAAGCACAATGACCATGCCCATGATTTCGCTGGATCTTGCCGACGCCTGTCTTGGTCATGGCCCGCCGCCGCCGATATGACATCCATGAATGGTCATGGCAAAGATGCACGATTAGCAAGATCGGCACCGACGTTTCCGCGTCCAGTTTTGGTCATGGTCATCGTTTTGTTTCCAGCCGAGTCCGGCGACCCCGCAGGAGCCCCTTCCCCGAATGCGTAGCCCCCTTGAAGAGGATGCCTCCTCCGCGTCGTTAGCCTCCCCCCATCCACCTCCTCCTCCTCCTCCTCCTGCTGCTCCTCTTGGTTCCGTGGGCCTAACCTTCACGTCGTGGTTTTTGTTCACAACGTGGACCCCTGGAGGTGTGGACTCCTTCACCGGGGCCCGTCTCTCGTCCTGGGTCATTTTCTGGCGACCCCTGGGGCTCGGGGACGGAGGACAGGAGGAGGAGGAGGGAGGGGCGGCGGCAGCAGCAACGCCAACGTGCCTCTCCTCCTCCGACCATGCCGACCGCTTGTGATTCGTTCGGGAAGGCACCATCGACGGCACACCGCTACCTGCACCTCTATCGGACACAGGTGAGTACCACGATGCTGCAGTGGGTGCCTTCGCACCCGGAGAAGAAGGGCTCGCTGGTCGCCTCTGTCACCAGTTTTTGATCGACACTGATATGGCGGCGCTCAATAGCTTCTACCCTGCGGGGCCCAGCTACTACAGGGCGCACGACTACACGAATTGCATCGATTTCAGGCATGCCCCTTTGGCGTTCATCCCGCACGTTCGCTTCCGCAAAGTTTCGATGGCAGCCCGACTTCGACTCCAGCCTATTAGCACGCTAGACGACAGGGACCACCGCCCGTTGATGGCCGACTTCCGCTTCACCTTTGAAGCTTAGCATAAACCGAGGTAAACGTGGGATTATGATTTCATCATGGCTAAACCTCGCGGCAGGGAGGCATGCGCTGAAACAGTCGAGCACGTACACAAGACCATCATCGACATCGACGAGGGCATTTGGATACGTTTATGCGCACGCCCCACCTCCGACGAGCTATGGAACTCAGACTCTGTGGCCTCCCAAGCCGCTTCTGCGGTGCAGGATGGAATCCTGAACCCCGCCGCTCGCCAACAAGAGAAGGCGGAGCTGGAACGCCAACGCAGTGCTGCACACACACGACGGCGTCAACTACGAGAACAGCATATTGGCCGCAACGACGCAGAGGGCTCACAGGTGGAGTTGGAACTGGCACGCCTCACATACCGCATAAGACAGACGTCTTTCCAGGGACATCACGGTGGAAACGAACGAGGTCCTCACCACTCAGCTCAACGAGGCCTGGGCGTCACACGACCGCTACTTGGTACAACGCCTGGTTCGTCGGCTTTCACAGCGAGGGCGCGGTCCCAAACAGCGAAGCTACTTCACGGCGCGCGACGAGAACTGCGAGTCCGATGCCATCTCGCGGTGCCTGCAGCAGCCCGCGGCCAGTGGAGGTCTGGGCGCCATCCCTTGCGTCTTGATTTCGGAGCTCGAGGAACGCTTCGACTTTGCTTACCTGGACGGCAAGATGCACAGGATTGGCCAGATGCGATACGGCACCATGCAGATGTGTGACCTGTGCCAGGCTTGGGCCGACCTCGAGGACGTCATCAGAGAGCTCCGCGCGGCTCCAAAGCGGCGAGCCACGCCAGCCTGGTCGATGCCATCGGAGCTCTGGTTCCTGATGCTAGACCCTGAGCAGTGGCAGCGCTTTCGCGGGGGCGGCGTGAATACCGACCTCGTGCCAGACATCCACCAGCCCTTCTACGAGCGTTTCCTGGACACCCTCGCCAGTGTCCGAAGGTCGCGCTTCTCAGCGCTGCTACAGAGGCACAAGCCAGGGGGCGGCGCGGGCCCGGCCGACTCGGAGGCCCCTTCGGGCAGGATGCAGCGAGGGGGAGTGGCCCAGTTGGTGGCGCGGCGGCGGCGGTCCAGAGCGCATTCAAGAACCGAGACCTCCAGCAGGCGGCGCACATCTCGCTGAAGATGGCGTGCCAGCGCACGTAGCAGCTCAGGGACTTCGCGGCGTCGGAGTGGACCGGCGTCGCCCTTTCCGCGGGCTCGACGCCGGCGGAGGCAGGCCGCGCTGCTGGGAAGATGCATTCCGAAACGGCGTCGATCGCAGCGGCCGAGCCTTCTCTCTGGCCAACTCATTTGTGCACCGCGCGAGCGGCTACCTGCTCAGCCGTCGAGTCGGAGGTGGGGAAGGCCCAGAAGGTGGAGGCGCGCAAGCTGCAGGCCATGTTCTATGAGCAATTCATGTCGCTGACGGGCGGGAAGACACGGGGTCGATGGCGCGGCACTTTCAGCTGGAGAAGTGCTAATTACATTGACCGGCGCGCGCGGCCCCGAGACTCGATCGCGGATCAAACGCCCCGCGCGGCGAGTCAACGCCAGAGGGCGAGGGCGCCCGCGACTTCGGCCTCGAGGCTCGAGATCGAGCAGGCGCTGATCTACTCACTGGCGGCCTTGAGCGGCCGACTGAAGATGGGGGCGACGCCCCAAGGGCATCTATCACTGGTCCTAAACATGCCCCGACCCGGGGTCGGCCTGGGCGAAGAGAGCTGTCCGCTGGATTGGGCGCTTGCCACTGCGCCCGATCAGCCTGCCGCGCGCGCTGTTTCATTATCCGCGCGTCGGGGCACGACGACGCGCTGAACGGCTCGTTGTTTGAATGCAGCGACATGCCCTGGTTGGCGTCTGGGGGCATCGGGGGTGCCCGCGGAGTTTAGAACAGCATTCGGGTGGTGATGCCTGTCCTTGGGGACAAGCACCACCGTTCCGTTGCGTTTGGGCCTGCCCGCCAGAGCGCCCTCGCAATCTCGCGCCCCCCCGGAGTCTGCTGCGGCCGCGTTCGGGGGCACTCTCGGGGGTCGCGCGTGCGCCCGAGAGCGATTTCCACCGAACGCCACCTCGACTAGATACAGATGCGTCTCTGGGAGCACCATCAACGCGCGTCGGCGACTGCGCCGACGCGCACCCGGACCTAGCTGGGGTGACGCGAGGCGGGTTTTCTAGGGAGCAGCCCCCGGCGACCGCGCCCGGCGTTCGGGGGCCCCGGCGTCTAGGTCGAGCGCGGGATTGCAGCGGCGCCCGCCCGGGACACCCAGGGCGCATTTTGCGCGTCGGGCCCCACACGCTTGACTGCGCGCCTTCGTGGGCGCACCTCCGAACGAGCTAGTCTATCCCGAGGGCGACCAATGCGCGGTCGGCCACTCTGCCGATTGGAACGCGCGCCCCTTCGGTGCCAGCGGATGCCCTGAGAAAACAGCGCCCTGTAATGTTCCATGGGCCGTCGCATCTGCCTTTGCGCAACCGCCGTCGGCTGCAGCGCGTCGCCCCCCCCCGCCCCTTGCCACCCCGCCTGGGTAAGGGCACGGGTCTCTCTCGGGTTCGAGAATCTAGAGTCTCCGGCTCGGAAGTTGTCGGACCGCGCGAGGGCCAGCGCGGCCGAGGGAAGGGGGGCCGCGAGAGTTGACTTGGAAGCAGAGATTGCAAGCATTGCGCGACAGAAATCGGGCTCGCGAGTTATCGGAGCGGCGAGAGCGGCCACCACTTCCGTCCAGTGTGTTTTTGCGTGCTACACATGTATACCAGTCGCCGAGACCAGGTCCACAGGCTTGTGTCTCCTCTTCTGTCGGGGACTGCCATCGGCTACAGCGCGCAGTAGCCCCTCTCGCCGCCGCGTGCACTTGTCTCACGAACACCTTCTGGTTCGGTTGCCGCATCTCAGACGCACGCGCACGCGCGCGCATACACTCGCTGCTCGCGCTCCTGATTGCACGTGCAACTTTTCGTTTTGCATAATTTCTGCACGCTTATCTGTTCCCATATGGAGATGAATTTCAGCAGCGCCTTTCGGCCAGTACCTTCGTCGCGGCACGTACCGGGAAGTTCGATTTCACATTTGAGGATCCGAGTCTCATATCGTTTGCGAAGGACACGGTGCACGAGGCAGCCGTCGCAGATTCAGACGTGACTGTGGGCGGGGCGATGCCCGTGAAACCTGAGCACTTGCGCATGGGCTCGCTTGTCATCGACGACTTCGTTTAGGTCCGCGCGGCCCGCGACGGTGCGCGAGCGCCTTGGGAGGGAAACCGAGGCCAGGCCGCCGTCCGCCCATCTCCTCTTCCTCCTCCTCCTCTCGCTTCCTCCTTGCTTGTCCGAGGGGCTCGTTCGTTTGGGTCCGAGGCTTCGACCGTCGCGAGGTTTTCAGGCCAGACACGAGACCACGCGCAATGCCGAGCATTTTTTGAAGAAACTATATATGTAAATCATTAGTATTACGATTACTATTATTATGCTGTTCCTTCTTCTTACCATCATTATCCTCGTTGTCGTCGTTCTCGTTCTCGTTTTCTTCCTCCTTTCCCTGCTATTCCTGGCCGCGAAGATGGCAAGACACAATCGTCGTGACTTTGGGTTCGTGGCGCGAGGTGCCGCACCTCCGGATGTGGCGACCTTGGTTCGCGTGGAGTTGGGCTCCAAGAGCACGGCCTGACACTGAAGATGTCTAAGTTTTGGTACGGGCGTTTCCCACGGTTGCCCAGGTGCCCGCTCAGCTTTCTTTTTCTTTTTACAAAAATTGCGCCGACAGAAGAGTCGCAACACGAGGAATTCGGGGGGTCATGGCCATCATGGCTTCCCTCGCTCCAGGCACGGCCGCGATTGGCGCGCGAGCCCGTTCTTCGTTCCGAGCGCGAGGCTCCGCGCAATGCCCGCGGTGCTGCTTCACGTGGGGGACTACGAGCTGCTGCTGGACGACTCGGTGCAGCTTCATAGGCCATGGGGCAATGTGATCGTCGTCGGCGTCGGCGTCGGCGTCGGCGTCGTCGTCGTCGACGTCTTCCCCCCCCTCCGAATGTCGTCACGCGTTCGGCTTCGCGGCGTTCATCGTGCTTCCTCGTCTCGTGTCGAGTTCGGGGTCTTCCCGTCGCAGGTTGATATGTTCAGGTTCGAGGTTCGAGGATCGGGGTTCGCTCTTCTGGAGGTTGTCGGTTGTCCTGGGGCGCCCTCGTGGCCACGGCTGCATCCGCTTCGAAATTCTGGACACAACGCACCCCGGAACGCACGTTTGACTCCCGATCAGGGGGCAACGTTACACGATGCGTTTCCTGAGCAGTGATTGCGCTTAGGGGTCCTCGCTTCTCTTTTTTTTTCATGAATTGAATAGGTACGACGGGGGTTCGACTGGTGAGCGTTTGGTGCCCGCCCGTGTGTGCCTCGTGGGGGTCCCGTGGCCGCTTCGTGAGGCCACATAACTTGCGCCTCATAGACTTGCACCACGTCGATTGCATGACACAGTTTTGCACCTCGTGTATCGCACCACCATGCTTACACCACACAACCTGCATCACATATGGTTACCTGCACCACATATCTTGCACCACATAGCTTGCATCACATAGCCTGCACCATAGAGTTTGCATAGCACAGTTTGAACCACATAGCTTGCACCACCTAGCTTGCACCACAGAGCCATGTTGGCTCAAGCGATCGCATGCCTTCGCCGCGGCCGTCCGCCTCCGCGTGATGGCTGGTGCGCGTGGTGCTAGAGGAGCAATGGCAAGCGTGGATGGGGCCGCACTCGTGGCGGCCGCTGTTCGTGCGGCGGTGGAGGCCAAAGTGCCGCGGCGCACGGTGGCCGCGGTGGCGCGGGCCGCACTGTTTGTAGCTTTGCGCGTTGCGGCGTCGCGGCGGAAGCGGGGGTCGCCGCGGAGGCGAAGGCGGAGCGGCGCAAGCGTCGCTGCCAGCGCCTGGCGGAGGCGCGTCGGGTTTGGCGCGCGGGGGCTGGAACTGCAGGTAATGGCCGCCGGCCTCATGGCGCGGCGGATGCTGGAGCTGCTAGGCCGAACGAGGACGACAGCATGGACAATGAGGTGTTCGGCGAGGCGGCGGGTGGCTCCCCTGCCGCTGCGGCGGCTGCGCTGCTGGGGCTGCCGAAGGCGTGCGCGCGGGCCTGGTGCTGGTGCAGACGGCTGGGGCGGCGCTTGCGGCGCCAGACGTGGGCACGTCGGACCTCGAGCCCGACGAGTGGGCGGACGCCTTGACGCGCCGTGCGCGGCGGAGTCGGAGGCAGGAACCCGCG